GATTGATAGAGCGAGAAAAATAAAAGATTGATAGAGAGAGAAAAGTAAGGGAGTGTAGAAAAAGTGGCGAAAATAAAGAGATTTTTCCCAAATGTTTATTTTGTGAACATCATTGTAAAGCTCATGATAGAATGATTATGAGCAGATAAAGCAAATGATGAGTTTATGAATTAAAAATAGAATTAATATGAGCAGACTAAACAGATAATATCTTAGTAAACATTTCTGAAAATTAATAACTTAAGATGGAATAAACTAAAACGGAAATAATTTGCGCTTCAGTTTCTGTCTTGATAATATTCCAGACTATATATATGTTAGATGTGCCTAGACGAATTCTTTTCAATTTAAGATTTGACTATTAATTACCAGATGATTGGCTTTAGTCGAAGTTTACTCTGACTTTCGTCTATAATCGGCCCGACTAACTCTAGTTTCTATCAAATTCGATTGTAAAGTGCCTGTCAACTGTTGCGCAAATTGAATAATTATTATTCACATGGAACTATCAAAGCTATCTATCTATACTTTGTTAGCCTTGCAACTACTATATTGATGATAATCGTCTGGTAAAAAAGTTGGCAAAGTTTTCAGTTTTATGTTTTAAGTTTTCAGTTGCTTGTTCTACTAATTCTATCCATGTGGATAAAGTGCCTGGCAACTTTTTCAATTATCCAGCTGAGTGCAAACTTTAATTAAGTTTCGCAACTGGCCGAGCTGCTGGCCCCTTCCCTTCCATAGGATTTACCTATTTGCATATTAACACTTGCAGCTAGCTAGCCCCTCCTCCCCTGTCCGTTCTGCCCCCGCTTGGGCGACGTCCATTGCGACTTTGTCGCTTGGCCAACTTGAAACAGTTTGTAAACGGTTTCAGACATTTTTACAGCTAACTTGATACAGCTAACGGTACTACCTCCAACTGCTAACTGTAAACACATGTGGCTCCACATACAGCTAGAGCCAACATTTTGCAATTGTTACGCGACGCGACGCGATGCGATGCGATCCAACCGCAAAAACCCAACGCGACTTATTTGTTTACATACCAATACCAATACACACACACACACACACAGATACTTGATTATTTACAATGAGGTAGGCGAACTTTGTTTGCACCTAATTAATGTATGTAAATATACATGCATTTATTTAAATAAATACACACACACACATACGGTAGCTCGACTACACTGCAAGAAATCGCATTGGAAATTAAAGAGCATTCTTTGAGAAATAAAAACAGTATGCAAAAGTGGCTAGACACACTTACGATAGCTCGAATACCCTGCAAGAAATTGCCTTGAAAATTTAAAGCAGGTTTCTTAAGTACAATAAATATGGGCATAAAATGTATCTAAAATTGTATGAAAAATATATATAGTATATAGTATTTCCCACTTTCAATGGAATATTCAAAAATGTATAAATTCAAAAAATGTATATACATATTATATATTCATATTATTGCCATTGTCGAGCTGTATATTTTGAATATATCATATTTATTAGTTTAGAAAAACATCGCTAGGCAAGCTTTAAAAATGGGGAAAACAATAGCTAAAGATAATTTGCATTATGCCTAGACGAAAGTCAAGATAAGAAAAATAAAAAACTGAGATAGCTGATTGAGTTTACAGTATATATGGATTATGTAGACTTTAAGTTTAATAGGATTCACTAGTTGTATATGGTACTTATCATAAAGAAAATAATATATATAAAAGTAAAAAATAATATTAATAGGTTAGAATAAATGTAAAATAAAATAAATAAACATGAGAATATATTCATATGCAAATTATTATATGTTAATATACAAATGCATATTCGAAAAAAAAATTAAATGCACAAATATCAATTAAAAAGAAAAAAACATAGAATTGAAACTTAAAAATAAAAATAAAATAAATATATAATTGTAATAAAATTAAAATTAAAATTAAAAATAAAAATAGAATTAAAAATAAAATTAAAATAATAATAAAACAAATTATAAAGTAAAACCAAAAACTATATTTAAAATAAAATAAATTTAAGCAATACAATAAATTAAAAAATATATTAAAATAAAAAATTTAATAAATTTCAAAACAAATTAATAAAAATTAAATAACAAAAATTAAAAAAAAATAAATAAAAAGAAAAAAAAAATAAAATAAAAATAAAATAAAATAAAAATAAAATAAAATAAAATAAAATAAAAATAAAATAAAAAAAAATTAAATAAAAAAAGAATAAAAATAGAATATCTAAAATATAAAAAAGAAATTAATTTAAAATCTAAAAAATTAATTTATGCAGACAGAGACCTTATTATTATTTATTTATTTTTAAATACTACATAAAATCACGAAAAATAGTTGTTTTTTGTCAGTGTAGTCGCATTAATGCGGGTGTAAGCCGTAGAGTTTACTGTTTCACAGAGCGCTCATCTCTGCTGCCTGTGGGGGGCGTCAAGTGACTCGGCCACTTCCAATCAGAATTGCTATTGCACTGCTTGTCAGCTGACTGACAGCGTGAGTGAGTGAGAGAGGGGAAGCAGAGAGTGAGATTCTCTCTCGTGTGTGTGTGTGTGTGTGTGACATATGCACGTCACTTACTTGCTTATCGTGTTACACCCAGCGTGAGCGTAGCGCTGTGTGATTGAATGCGGTGATTGCTGTTTGATAGCATATTAAGTATTTACCTGCACATTTCTTGCATTTCTGCATACACACACACACACATAGGCACATACAAGGCTATGACTGGACATTGTTTAAATATTTATTGAGAAATTGTGCATTGAATCAATTGTAAACAATTACAATGCTTTATTTATTCGAGTTGTCAACTAAACTAATCCCCATAACTGTTCATTGGCATGCCCTGTATCCGGTGTAAATCGAGACAATTTAATGTTGGCAAGGGTCGTGACAGGCGCCTTCATGTATATATGCATATACCTGATGAGGACTATATGCTGAGTATATCTAAGCCAAGCTACAAAGCCAGAGATTTTCCATATAAGGGCAGCATCGAATGAACAGAATGGTTCAAGGTATCTACTTGTAACTCAGTTCCGAGTGTTCTGCAGTCAATATACATACATATATATCGAACAGTCTCACGGATACTAAACAATTACCAGTAATATAATTATTTATAATGTGTGTTTATATATACAATATGTATATTGATTTTGTTCTGCTATATATCCGCATGGGCTAATAATGTAATTGACCTAGTATGTACATCGATTGGTATAATTGACTTTATATGCTTCTTATAAAGATTGTTCTCATTTGCTTTTTGAAGTAATTTTAATTCTTGACAATTGGTGAGATATTTATAAATTATAATAAACTATTATCGATTAATAATAAACTATTGACCAATCGATCATCGGATAGCAAGACATTCTAGAGCTAGAGCTATGAGCTTTAATTCTAGCTTCGCGAATTCTATGCTCTTGCTAAGTAAATAAATGAAAAAAATAATTAAAATAGATAAAAAATAAAAAATAAAATAAAAAAGAAATAAATTAATTAAAAAATTAATTAAAGATAAATAAATTAAAAAATAAATAAAATTAAAAAATAAAATAAAATAAAAATAAATAAAATCAAAAATAAAATAAAATAAAAATAAATAAAATAAAAAATAAAATAAAATAAAAATAAATAAAATCAAAAATAAAATAAAAAAAAAATAAAATAAAAATAAATAAAATCAAAAATAAAATAAAATAAAAATAAAATAAAATAAAAATAAAATAAAATAAAATAAAAATAAAATATAATAAAATAAAATAAAAATAAAATAAAGATAAAATAAAAAAAATAAAATAAATAAAAAATAAAATAAAATAAAATTAAATAAAAAATAAAATAAAAAGATATAAAAAAAATAAAGAAAAGAAAAATAAATTGAAAAAAAGATTAATAATAAGGAAGTTATCAAAAAGAAAAAATTATAGCAAATATATATTATTATATAAAACAAAATAAAAAATTAATAATAATAAAAAACGATAATAAAAAATAATACTAAAAAAAAAAAAATAATAATGGTAAACAAAAAAAAAAAAAAACAAATTAATAAAAAATAATACCTAAAAAATAAAATAAAACAAAAAATTCAAAAAGGAAAATAAAAAGTACAAAAAGAAAAAAGTACAACAATAAAAAAACCAACTTACAAAAAATGCAGAAAAACATTTTTTGGAAATAAAAAAAAATGTATAAATAGCCAAGCATTGCTTTAATAGCCGATTAGCTCCGTTCTACTCTTTCCATAAAAAAAACACCATAATAATTCAATGTCCAATGGGAACTTGACAGACACAAACTACGCACGCCGCATAAAAAGATCTAAAATCAGAGAAACAATCGAAAGTGTGCAAAAGTAGGAAAATTGAACTATATAGAGCATTACGGCGGGGGGGAATACAACTGTATATATGTGCTCATGCAAATATTCTGTTAGCAATGCACAATCTAATACTTGATGACTTCGTAGTGCTTCTATTATTATCATGAGCACAGCTGCATATAGTATATGAACTCTATTTATATAATTGCCAAATCAAATTATAAAGTCTTACAGCTTCAATGAACTATTTTCGTTGGGTAAATTGGGAAATGCATTTGCATCAAATTTAAGTGAATGAAATTCAATTGAAAAGCTCTTTTGAAGCTACGAACTTATAAATATAAATTGGCATGTCAAAGGGACTGGGAACGAGGCGGGGGCTGGTGGGGCTCTGGTGTGGTTGTGGGCTAACGTAATTGTTATTGGCCTATTGGAGAAACGCAATCAAATCGAATGTTTTTGCATCGTAAAAATATTTTAATTGAATTTTGATACGACGACTTTGAAATGCAATTGCAATTTGATAAATGGGATTTTGTGGGATATAGCTGTAATATAAATATATACAGGTGCACAGCTGTACACCTGTACGCATATATACCTTGATATATATATTGACATTTCTGGCATTACTTTCATTGCAGGCCATTTGGATAGGGAGTCGGACAAGGCCAAGCACAAGGACTGCGATATAGACGCAAACGTTAGCCGCTCACCGTTAGCCGTCAGCCGTTTTCCCGTCAACTGTATTGCCCGTTAGCCCCGTTAGCCATTTGACCGGCCGGACATTACGCAGAGCTGAGGAGCGTCGTTAGTGTGTGGCGCGTGGGGGGCGGAGCAGCGACGGCCTGGTCCAACTTGTAGTCGTCGTTCGTCGTTCGTCGTCGTCGTCGTCGTCGTCGAAGTCAAGGAAAATGTCTTCGCCATTAGCGCAGAGCAACAACAGCAACAGCAGCCAGTCGCAGTCATCAGCAGCAGCAGCAGCAGCGGCAGCAGCAGCAGCGGCAGCGGCAGCGGCTGCTGCACAGCAGCACAATCAAAAATCAAATTCATCAGCTGCCAGCAGCGTTAACAATACACACGAAAAGAATGCGAGCGGAACGACGGGGACGACAGCGGGTGCCGGCGCTGGCGCTGGAACTGGAAGTGGAGCAGCAGCTGGCTCAGGATCGTCGGGCGGCACGCCACAGAGCCCCACAAAACGTAGCACAATATCCACAAAGGAGCGTGTGATCGACAGCGTGCCGTTCCCACCCAGCCGTAAGCTAACCTGCGCCGATGTCTTCGATGCGCGCACCGGCAAGCCGCACCACGATGTACTTAAGCAGCATTTCATACTGGAGGGCCGGATCGAGGAGAGCGCCGCCCTGCGCATCATCCAGGAGGGCGCCACGCTGCTGCGCCAGGAGAAGACAATGATTGATATTGAGGCGCCGGTCACCGTCTGCGGCGACATCCACGGCCAGTTCTATGATCTTATGAAGCTATTCGAAATTGGCGGCTCGCCGGCAACAACAAAGTATCTGTTCCTGGGCGACTATGTGGACCGGGGCTACTTCAGCATTGAGTGCGTCCTCTATTTGTGGTCGCTGAAGATCACGTATCCGCAGACGCTGTTCCTGCTGCGCGGCAATCACGAGTGCCGGCATCTGACCGAGTACTTCACCTTCAAGCAGGAGTGCAAGATCAAATACTCGGAGCGCGTGTACGACGCGTGCATGGATGCGTTCGACTGCCTGCCGTTGGCGGCGTTGATGAACCAGCAGTTCCTCTGCGTGCACGGCGGACTGTCGCCGGAGATACACGAGCTGGAGGACATCAGGCGGTTGGATAGATTCAAGGAGCCGCCCGCCTTTGGCCCCATGTGCGACCTGCTGTGGTCCGATCCGCTCGAGGACTTTGGCAACGAGAAGAACTCGGACTTCTACACGCACAACTCGGTGCGCGGCTGTTCGTATTTCTACAGCTACGCCGCCTGCTGCGACTTCCTGCAGAACAACAATCTGCTGTCGATCATACGGGCGCACGAGGCGCAGGACGCCGGCTACCGCATGTACCGCAAGAGCCAGACCACCGGTTTCCCCTCGCTGATCACCATCTTCTCGGCGCCCAACTATCTCGACGTGTACAACAACAAGGCGGCGGTACTCAAGTACGAGAACAACGTGATGAACATCCGACAGTTCAATTGCTCGCCGCATCCCTACTGGCTTCCCAACTTCATGGACGTGTTCACCTGGTCGCTGCCCTTCGTCGGCGAGAAGGTCACCGAGATGCTGGTGAATGTGCTGAACATCTGCTCCGACGACGAGCTCATGACCGAGGAGAGCGAGGAGCCGCTGTCGGACGACGAGGCGGCGCTGCGCAAGGAGGTCATCCGCAACAAGATACGCGCCATTGGCAAAATGGCGCGCGTCTTCTCAGTGCTGCGCGAGGAGTCCGAGTCAGTGCTGCAGCTGAAGGGGCTGACGCCCACGGGCGCCCTGCCCCTGGGCGCTCTGTCCGGCGGCAAGCAGTCCCTCAAGAATGCCATGCAGGGCTTCTCGCCCAATCACAAGATTACCTCATTTGCGGAGGCCAAGGGACTCGATGCGGTCAACGAGCGGATGCCGCCCCGACG